TTCATTTAAATAAAAGGGTGAAGGACAGGTACAAGTTAGTATTTTCACAGTAGAAGTATTTTTCAATTCTCATGGAAGCAAATAAGTATTTTTCTTTGTAAGTGTGATGATAGTGGTGAGTCTATCATAATAGTTAACTGATGCAGAAATAATGAAATTATACCATATAGTTTAGTTGACAAAAATTTGAGACATCCTGGTATAGTGTCTTCCAATTTGTATGTATGTGTAATTATTTGTTGGTAGTTCTGTTGGTAGTTTATTGGTAATTTTTTATCATTGGTAGGAAATGTAAGTCAGCTGAGTATTTCAGACATGCTATATCTGTTCTTGGGAATAAAATTTAGCATACAGTTATTGAGTACTTATCAGGATGTATATATAGAGAAAATAACTTTTATTTTCAATACTGTGTATATATAGAAATGTAGACAGAAATAATAAAATATTGTATCAGAAAAGTAAAGTACTCGTTGAATGGGGTGGTACATACCTGTAATCTTGGCACTCAGGGCTGAGCCAGGGTGATCACTTCAAATCAAAGTCAGCTTAGGCTGGATAGTAAGTTCACGGCTAAACTGAACTATGTAGTAAGACCCTATCTCAAAAACAAAAACAACCCCCCCGCAAAAAAAAAGTACCTCATGAAATTTTTACAGCTTTGTTTATTGTAGAATGGTAGGCTTGGGGATATTGCTCAGCAACATAATGCCTGCCTGTCAAGTGCAAGGTTGTGAGTTCTATTCCAGGTACTACAAAAAATAAGAACAAAGAAAAAATATAGAATGGAAGAGGACTGGCTTTGTACTACTTAGATTTTGCAGTCTGAATTAGAAGATGGTATTGAACAAAATACATGTACTTATGAAACTATTAGGTGCTATATAAAAATGAATGAAATAAATTGGGCCTTTCTTTAAGAAGTAGTGGAGTGAGCCTCTGTAGCTGGGTAGGGGAGATAGGTACATAAACAGATAAAATACTAACACGATACCATGCAGTAACAGTTATGAGTTAAGTACCTTCGGAATGCAGTGCACACTGCATCTGCAGACTTTACTGAGGATTTTATATCAGAGCTGGATCTTAAAGATGAGCCCAAGTTTTTCAGGAGAAACGGCAGTCTTGATATTGGGAATATTATATCAAGTTCATTATGTGTAAAAGTCCTGAAAGACTTCAAATGAGTGTGGTGGGAAATGAAAATAAAGGAGTAGAAGAAATGGCAAAAAGAGATAAGACTTGTTCCATGGGCTGATTTATCATTCATCATGGTAGGTACAGGAACTAGGCCCACAATATTTCTAAAGACCTTTTTTTTTAAAAAAAAATATTTATTTTTATTTATTACATTTATTTATTGGGGGGGGGCCAGCTCAGCCCACCAGGGGGCGGGGCTGGCTGGCATGTGGTGCTGGAGGATCGAACCGAGGTCCCTGTGCTTTGCCAAGCTTGTTTCAAGTAGGTGCTTTAGACCACTGAGCCATCTCTCCAGCCCTCTAAAGACCTTTAAAAATGTTTTAATTCAAATTAGAGGGACAAAATGAACTTTTAGGTTGAAAAATATTTAGTATCTAGTACTAATATATCATTTTTATACCAACACAGCGCTAGACTATTTCTAATTGTATTCATTTTAGTCACACTTTTACTACATTATAAAAAATTCAAATCTTTAAATGGATATATTGCTGACACTATTTCTAACAAATATTTAAAAAAACTAAAAACACTGGTTTATAAAATAGTTGTTTATTGGAGTAGGCTAGTATTTGTAAGAAAATATTTATAAATGTATAAAAATTTGCTGAATTATAATTTGAAAGAAGAGATTATTCTTAAAATAGCAAATTATAATTGGTTTATGCTAATTCTCCCACCATAAAATAATTCCTTAGAAGTAGGCTGAAATTATTTTAAGAAAAAAATTTAGTGAAAGCTGATATTAAAAATGATTCAGGGGTCACGGGGAGATAGCCCAGTAGAATAAGCACTTGCCTGGCAAGTGCAGAGTCCTGAGTTCAATCCCTGGTACCACCAAAAAAAAAAAAAGATTCAGTTCCTCTCCAGTTATATTTTTATTTTTTATTGATATTCACTCAACTTAGTTGACTTTGTCTTTTTGTCTAGTTTTTATACGAATAATTTTAGAATTTTAGATTTCTATCAAATTATGTGCCACCATCATCACCACTACCACCACCCCTGCACATAGGTCCTGATCTTTAGCTACTTTTCTTTTTTCTTTCTTTCCTTTTTTTTTTTTTTTTTTGAGGAACCGGGGATTGAACTTGAACTCAGGCCTTTGTGCTTGCCAGGGAAGTACTTATTCTACTGAGCCATCTCCCCAGCCCCTTCAGCTTCTTTTTGACAGTAAAGGAAGTCTAGGAAAAACAAGTTTTTATCTTTCATCTTTTTTTCCACAAATATAAAACTTCCCTCTTTATTTTTAAATTATATAAAGCACTTTATGGTCTAGCTGCTTCTAAGTACTTAGAGAACTCTACTCATTAATTCAATAGTACAAAGTGAATGACAGACGAGGAGGGATAAAATTAGCATATCTGCATTGTAGAAAACTAGAGATACTTAGTTCATAAATTCATTGTTATCTTTCCAATAATCAAGACAAGAAGGAAACAGAATCATTACATAACTTTGGTATCTGCCTGGTTGCAGGTAACACTTACATCTTACCAGGGTGTGACAAAGAGAAAGAATTATGCCTCATGGGTAGATGCCTTTTCAGATTTACAGCGTTTTTCAAAATCTAAGAATGCCTTACAGTTTGAATCTCCTAAGTATGACTCTGTGTTATAGAAAGAACTTTTTATATGTGGAAAAATATTCTGTTTTTATAATCAATATGGTAAAATTTGCCAATCTGCTGATAACCTAAAGAGATAACTTTTTTTTTTTTTTTTTTTTTTTTTTTGGTACTGGGAATCAAATACTTAGGACTTTGTGCTTGCCAGGCAGTCGCTTTGCTCCTGGGCTCTCTCCCCAGCCTAAGATAGCATTCTTAAATGTGCAAGATAATCTAATAAATGTTCTTATTAAAGAGATTTGTGTATGGGACTACAGCTGATAAAAATGTGGCAGAATCCTTAGTAGGCTATTGTTCTAGAATTCATTTTTATGAATAGGTACTACTATATATTCTGACCATTTAAGTGGATATTAGTAAATGTCTCCTGAAAGATTGCTTGAAGTAGTTTAACAGTGTACAAATTGAGCGATAATTATTTTTCACTACTTACTGTCTCTGATTTTGTCTATCCAAAATAGACTTTTTTTTTGGGGGGTGGTTCTTTTTGAGACAGGGTTTCACTATGTGATTCAGACTTGCCTTGAGCTCACTTTGTAACACAGACTGGTCTTGAACTCATAGCAACCTTACTGCCTCAGCCTCCCAAGTGCTGGGATTATAGAGGTACAGTGCCACTCTTGGCTTCAAACAGACTTTTACAGCCAGACTCTGAGCTCCTATAGTTTTAGCTATTGGAAACGCTAAAGCAGGATGATCACCTGAATGCAGGAGTTCAAGACCATAATGCAGCCATATAGAGACTCCATCTCAGGAAGAAAAAACAAAACCCCCGAAAGATAGACTACTGTGTAAGAGGCTTGAAGGCTAGAACTCTGTATTACTTGAATTACTTTTCATTGTAATACATGTAGCAGGCCTATGTGTAAAAATTGGATTCGATACAAGCTGTTGATTTTTTCGTTTCTTCTCCAGAGGTCTTAGTTTTGTTCAAAGGCATTAATCATCTCCCTTGCTAAAGTATGATTTTATTAGATTTAGTATCCTACAAAGTCAAACACATTAGGAAGTTCTCCAGGAGAGTCACTGTGAGTTTGAGGACAGCGTGAACTGTATAGTGAAACTCTGTCTCAAAATGACAAAAACAAAACAATGTTGTTAACATTTGTTAGTTTATAAATTATGTGGCAGATGTTCTTTTTTTTTTTTTTCCTGAGACAGGGATTCTGTAGTTCAGATTGGCCTTGGACTCACTGTGTAGCCCAAGCTTACCTCCAACTCACAGTGAGCCTCATGCCTCAACCCCTCAAGTGCTGGAACCACGACACCAGTGTCACAAACATTCTGTAGAAATCAGTTAAATCAGATTAGGTGTCAATGGAGACAGATATATTGGCATTCAGATTGCATTAGGTTATCTCTTCAGTAAAGAAACTAACAGTTGCATATTTCTTCTTGCTATTAAATTAGTATTTTAAGTAATGGAATGTCAGTTTCTTCTGCTTACTAGTAACCTTAGTGTTGAAAACATATTTAATAAGTTAGGCATGGAATTCTCTCATTGTCAGTGAACAATTTCATATTTTTTGATAAATGTAGAGTTGTTTTATTTTTGGGAGTTTTTGGTACTGGGGATTGAACTCAGGACTTTTGCTTGCCAATGGCAGGTGCTTAAGCAGCTAAGCTATCTCTTTGTGTAAATGTAGAATTTAAAGTCATTTTTTAATTCAGAGTACAGCTACAGTCCAATTTTAGAGCAGGAATTTCATTCCAATAAGAAGCCATGTGCCCATTTGTAGTCATTGTTTGCATTCTTAGTTTACTATGCTTAATAACTTTCTGCAGTTGAGTATATGATGAAAACTGAGTACTACATGAAGTTTCTGAAGTTGCTTATTCGTTTTAAAGGTTAATTTAGAACATGAATATTTTACTTGATATTTCTTGTGGACACCAGTATTTAATGAGAGAAAGAATATTAATAATATGAATAAAATGTATTGCTTTTAGGAAATGAATTTAAAGATTTGCTTCTCTTTGAATGCTACTAATTAACCAATACATAGAAGAAAGTTATTGAATGAATTTACAATATAAAAAATTTATTTAGTGATTTGAATTTGAAGGATTTAGTAGGGAAATATGTAGTGTTATTCAAATAAGACGAGGATTTTCTGTATTTTGCAAAAATTATCATAAAATTAATTGATCATGTTATTTTTCTTTATTTTAGCTTCCCAGAACCAAGAACGGCTCTGTGCATATAAAGATCCATATCAACAAGACCTTGGGATAGGTGAGAGTCGAATCTCTCATGAAAATGGAACAGTGTTATGTTCAAAAGGTAGCACGTGCTACGGCCTTTGGGAGAAGTCAAAAGGGGACATAAATCTTGTAAAACAAGGCAAGTAATACTTTTCTTACCTGAAATAGATTTGTTTCGTATAATTGAAGCTTATCTAAGAAAAACATAGGGGCTGTAGGTACAGCTCAGTGGCACAGTGCCTGCCTGGCAAGTGTGAGATCCTGGTTATCACTGTCATCACCTTCCCTCACTCTCACCCTGAAAAAAAAAAAAAAAAAGAGGAATCCTATCCAGAAAAGCAGTAATTTTAAAAGTATGTGTATATATTCTTATATATATTTATCCGTAAGCCACAGATTTGTAAAGGAAACTTTTAAGTTTATTTTAATAACATCTTAATTATTATCATGTTGGTATGTGTTCAAGTGATATTTTAGAGATACAGACAACTACAAAGAAAAAATGAAAGTCTGTATTTCTATACTGTTTTTTTAAAAATTAACTCTATTTTATTTATTTATTTATTTTGGTGTCAGGAATCATACTCAAGATGGTGCTCTTGTCAGGCAGGCACTGTGTCACTGAGCTATATCCCTGGCCCTATTGGTGTTCTTTTATTTTATTTTTTTTTTATTTTTTTATTTTTTTGGTGTTCTTTTAATATATATAATAATCACATTCATCATGGAGAATTTGTACCTATATACTTTTTTCTTTTGATTTCTTTAGACAGGGTGTTGCTATGTAGTTCAGGTTGGCTTTGAACTTGTGGTAATCCTCCTGCCCTAGCCTCCTGAGTACTGGGGTTACAGATGTTTGTCACCACCCCCAGCCTGTTATTCCATGCTCTTTAAAAGTATGTTTATTCCCTTAGTTTATCCTCGTCAGGTGTATTTTCTGTGTACTTTGACATTTATCTGAACATGTATTTTCTTTTTTTCAAAATTGGAGTAAAGCTATATAAATAATTTAATATCATTTTTGCTGTGTCTTTAGCCTATGAAAATATATTTATTTTTATATTTATCTATTTATTTTTAATGTATTTGGCTGTTATAGGGTCTCACTATGCAGCTCAGACTCAATGATCCTCCTGTTTTCAGCCTCCCCAGAATTGGGATTAAAGGTGTACGCCACTACTCCCAGACTCTGTGGCCAGCTCAGCTTGCCCTAGAGGCAGGGCTGGCATGGCATGTGGTGCCAGGGATTGAACCATGGTCCCTGCACTTGCCTAAGCAGGTGCTTTAGTTTGCTGAGCTATCTCACCAGCCCCTGAAAATATTTTTAGCATTTGCACAACATTTCATTGTTTACATGTATCATAGTTTACTCACACTTGTTGGACATTAGGAACAGTCATTTTCCAATTTGCTCTGTAATTAGTATACAATGAACAACTTTGAGCATAGATCTTTACATTTGATTGTTTTCTTAAAATAGATTCCTTGGTGTAGAATTATTAGATTATTAAAAACTCTGAGTATTTTAAAGCTGTTCTTTCCAAAAATACCATCATTTATCTTCCATCCAGGATAGTGTGTGTGTGTGTTCTTCAATCCTTGTTATGACTGGATATTATTTTTTAACCTAGAACAGTTTAATTGGTAACCTCATTGGTGCTTTAATAATTTTTAGATTAATGATGTTAGTGCCTTTTTTCCTTGTGAAGTATCTGTTGTGTTTTTTGTCATTTTTTTTATTGATTTGCAATATTGTTTTCACTTATATATAATCATTCATTTTACTTAGGTTTTTGTTTTAGTTTTCATTTTTAAAATTTTTTATATTATTAGTACATGTTTGAAATTCATGGTCATTGTGGGAAGTGGTTGTTACACGTGCATATATACAGCTTATTTCTTTTTTAAAAAATCCCCTTCTCTCCTCCTGTTTGTCTTCTCCTTTTTTTGTATTTGTTGATATTATTTGTCTTATCTCATGTTATATCACAAATGCTTACATTAATTGGTGTTATTAAGTTCCTGTCCTCTTAGTTTGATCGTATTGTCTCCTAATGCATTTATATTGATGCTGCTTTTTAGGATGTTGGTCTCACATTGGAGATCCTCAAGAGTGTCACTATGAAGAATGTGTAGTAACTACCACACCCTCCTTAATTCAGAATGGAACATACCGTTTCTGCTGCTGTAGTGCAGATTTATGCAATGTCAACTTTACTGAGAATTTTCCACCTCCTGACACAACTCCATTCAGTAAGTAGTTAAAATGACTTTTTTTTATGATTGTTTTTTCCAGAGATTTGAAAAGTATAAAACAAACATTCAGTGTTAACAGGAATGAGAGGAAATGTATAAAATGATATGTCGTGAACATTTGAAATCCAAGAAGATGCATCAGGACCGAGAAGACATCAACATATTCGTCAAATAAGTTGGTGTCAAAAATACAGTACTAATGTGGAAGAATATGTAGCAGTATTAAGAATGCTGCAGCTATGCTCAGTGGCATCCCTGTAGTCCCAGCACTGAGGCTGAAGCTGAAGGATCACTGAGAGTTTGAAGCCATCCCAAACTGTATAGTGAGCCCTGTCTCAAAAAAAAAAAAAAAAAAAAAAAATAAAAAAGCGGGGCGCAGTGGCACATGCCTATAGTCCCAGCTACTTGGGAGGCTGAGGTGGGAGGATCGCTTGAGTCCAGGAGTTCTGGACTGCAGTGCGCTATGCCCATCGGGTGTCTGCACTAAGTTCAGCATCAATATGGTGAGCGGGGGACCACCAGGCAGGTTGCCTAAGGAGGGGTGAACTGGCCCAGGTCAGAAACGGAGCAGGTCAAAAAAAATAAGTTAATCAATAAATAAAAATAACTGTATTTGTGGACTTTCAGTAGTTTCCAGTATTATGCAGTCATAAGTAGTATTGTAATAAATAAGTGAATAACTGTTTACATGTGATTATTTTCCAGATAAATTTCTAGAAATAGGAATGCAAGGTGAAAAAGTAAGCACACTTTTAGTTTTTTCAGGTTGCTTATTTTTATTTGTTTTGTCTTATTTCGAGACAGGGTCTATGTTGCCAGGCAGGCTGTGAAATCCTGGGATCAAGTGATAATGCCTAGCCTACACAGTTATTTTAAATACATGAAGATACATACATGTAATAGAGTACTACCAATATCACTGTAAGAAAAAATAACTAAGATCCCTGTTAACTGACAATGTAATTATTAGACATGTTAGATGTAAACAAGCATACTGTATATCATATGCTGTCTTTAGGTAAGATAAAAAGAGAAAAAAATACGTCTATTTCTGCTTTTGACAAAAGGAAGTAAAAATGAATGGCTGAGTCAGAAAATAATGAAGTTGGTTACTTAGAGGGAATGAAAGGACAACTTTTGGTATGCATAAAATAAAATTAAATCATTAAAAATGAGAAGACAAAAACCCCCCTACAAACTGAAAAAATAAATGAAACCCATTGAATTTCAAATAAATACAGTAACCACACTGGAGGGGAGAAAGAAAGAATTAACCCAAGTAGTTCACCAACATGGTATTTGATTATAATTGTATTCTTTTAGGGCAAGATGGGATATAAGGAATAGAATGGAAAATTGTAAACAAGTTATGAGCTCTTTTCAGGTTAGTTTTTTTTTTTTTCTATTACCACTGTTTATTCAGTTTTTTTTTGTTTGTTTATTCAGTTTCTGGCCATATCATTGAGAATGGTTTTTCAAATTACCCATATGACCATTTTTCAACATCAGAAGAGTCATGATTTGCAAAGAAACACTTTGGATTTTTTCTGCCTCCAAAATGTTTATCAAGTCCTGTACTTCTCACAGGCTTTTGAAACACATAAAAAAAAAAAATAAGTAAGAAATATTCCAATGAATGAAACATACCAAATGTCAGTAATAAGTGACACATTTCTTTGGGGAAATGGCTGTTTAAAAAAAAATAAAATCCAATCTGTATATGCAAAGTAAGCAAGGAAATTCAGGTTTTTTTCCTTCTTTAAAAATCTGTTACTCCTAAAATATCGTTCCACAAAACTGAAAGTAAATGACTGAAACACCAAGAGAAAGAGGAGAAAGAGAAGAAAGAGAGGGAGCATACACCATTAACACAGAAGAAGTAAAACTGTACAAACTGAAGCAGGTTATAACAGACTGGGGTCACACTCCCATACACCGAAGGCTGACTGAATAAATTCACTGGTCCATAGGAGCTGGGTTCTCTTAGTGGAGACAGGTGAACAGCTATTCATGACTGTAGAGTAATTCCCCTTCCTACTCCAAAGCTGGGCTTCTGCACCATTCCTTCATAGGGAAGGCCTCTCATACCACTGCCCAGCCCACCTTGGGGGCCTCCAGGTCCCCGCAGGCAGTTGTCTCGACAGTCCCCTTCGCTGGCAGTGTGGGTCTTCTTCTCTTGCACATTCAGATGGACTTCACCTCTGGACATGATGAGCCTGTTGTTAAGGACCTTCTGCACAGACTTAGTATTATCAAACATGACAAAGCCAAAGTTGAATAGCTTTCCACCACTGTTTATGTGCAGCTCTACCATATTCCCATAATTTCGAAAGAAATCTTTAAGTTCTGATTTGTCAACCTCATGAGGTATGTCACTGATGAAGAGCTGGTGACTGTCAGGTTGTCTTACAATTCTCCAAGCTTCAACATGACCTTGCTCCCCAGCCTCACGAATTGGTCTGGGTCCCCTCTAAGGACATATATTTATTTGTTGTTCTATTACTCTTTGACCTCTCAGAGGCCTCTGTGGTGGAATCTGAGATTCAAGTTTAGATTCTGGATCAGGCTATAATGTTGGTGCTTTCACAATATGAGGAAGTATCCCAGGAACAGAAATAGTTTCACTAGGAGGAAGGTCCTTACCAGTCACAGATGCCCAAGAAAATGTCCTTAAGTCCTATTGTACTGTCTCAGCTATGTCTGTAGGTGTTGGAAAAGAACTCTTCTGAGCATATTCAGGAGCAGCTTCCACTGAAACATGCTCACACTTTTCCTCTTGGATTTCAGATGCAGGTTCTTAACTCTGGTTCTGGTTCAGGATGAGATGCTGGTCCAGCAATGGTTTCCTCTAAATGTTCTTCCAGGTCATTGCTGACAGTTTGATCATAGAAAGTATCAGAATCATCAGGTACAACCTCAGGTGTCTGCTTTCTTCAGGCTCCTCTACTTCTTAGATTCCTCTTGAGGCTAAGTGACAAAGCTACCAAGGACCTCATCTTGGTACCTGAAGATATCATTATGAACATAGAATTTATTTGTAGCTGAGCCCTCAGGAGCGAGGACAAATATCTGCATGAACCTCCACAAAGCCTGGTTGTTGTTAGAGAGCAGTCACATTACCTAGACCACCACAACATCATTCAAGGTAGCATGTGCATTGACGTTAAGGATCTTGATGTGGTAGTTGGTGAAATTTTGTGACACCACTTTATGAATTTCTTTCTGTCTGTAGACTGCATCTACAGGTTTTGAACATAGCATTCTTCTTGCCTCAGCCCTGAGTGCTGAGGATTGCAGGTGTGTGTCACCATGTCTGACAAGTTTTTTGTTGTTGTTTTTTGTTTTTAATTTCTTCATCTATTTACTGTTTGAGTAATAGGAAGTTTACTCTTGGATTTTGTTTTTAATTTCTTCACCTATTTACTGTTTGAGACAAAGTCTTAGTATGTGGTCCAGGCTGGCCCTGAACTTGTGGAAATTCTCTTACCTCAGCCCCCTGAGTGGTGGGATTACAGACATCCATGACTATGCCTAAATTAACAAGTTTTTAAAAATTGAAATATACCACATTTTAATAATTCTCTCAGTCAACAAATTGTGTTAGTTCTTACTCTGGAATCTTATAGTCTAGATTATTTCTTTTGGACAAATGGAAAGTAATAGGAAATTCACTCTTGGATTTCTGCCTACTCAAGGTCATTAGATTTACCAAGATACCGTACTAAGTTGGATAAAATTAAGTCAATTTGAAGTTAGCAAACAAGATGAATATTGTTTCATTTTGTGCTAATCTGAAGAAAATAACACATTTAGCCTGCCAATGTTGTGTTTAACCAAAATAAAAGCAATTTTAGTTATTGAAGTTTTGTTTGTTTGTTTGTTTTTTTGGTGAAACCAGGGTTTGAACTCAGGCCCTTGCACTTGCCAGGCAAGCACTTATTCTACTGAGCCATCTCCCTGGCCCTTAATTATTAAAGTTTAAAGAAATGAAATACAAAATTAAGCAGAGCTTTTCTTTTTGTTTTTATTTATTAATTTGGTACAGAGTCTCACTACACAGCTCCAACTCCTAGTGATCCTCCTGTTTTCAACCTCCCTAGTGCTAGGATAACAATGGTGTGTCACCATGCCTGGTTTCAGTGGCCAGCTTGGTGTGGGGGTGGCACAGAAGCTTTTCATTCATGGTCATATAACAACATTTAGTGATTTTTTTCCCTTCTTTAGTATTTTGTTTAGAAAGTACATTTAAAAATTACTAGATGCCGGCCCCACCCTAGTGCGCTGAGACAGTGATTGAGACCGGGCGTGATGGCATGTGTGTACAATCCCAGTGCTTGGGAGGCTGTGAGTTTGAGGCCAGCTTGAGTTATATAGTGAAGCCCTGTCTCAGAAAGACAGAGATAGATCCCTGGCACTACAGGCCACACAGGCCCTGCCCCCAGGTGCCTTTAGCTGGCCGCACTGGGAGTGGTGACACACATATGTGATCCCAGTGATGGGGAGGCTGAAAATAGGAAAATAGGAGGATCACTACAGGTTCGAGCTGGGTAGTGAGACCCTGTACCAAATACATTTTTTTAAAAAGGGAAAAAAATTACTAGAAACGTGGTGCAAATTTATCAAAAACAGAAGAGATTGTGTTAGGTGACTATTGGTGAAAAATATACATCTTATTTCTGTAGTTTTCAAAGTGCTGTGTTGTTTTTGTTATGTTTTTGTGTGGTGCTGAGGATCGAACCAAGGGCCTGATATATACAAGGCAAGAGCTTTACCACTGAGGCACATTACTACCCATTTATTTTTGTAGTTTTGAATCATGTGATTCTTTAAGTTGTGCATATAATTGTTCATTACTTATATAAAGTAATTTTTGGAGAAAGATCTTTTGCCTGACTTCCTATTATTTGCTGTATCAAAAAAGTGTTATTCCTGATGGAATAAACGTAGTAGTAAGCTTTCACTTTATCAGGATTATAGAGTTAATGAATAGATGGAGC